AGCTTCTCTCTGCGTCATGACTAGAAGAGTCTAGGTACGGTCTTTCACTATTTCTGATTGAAAGAGTTTGCTGATTTTAGTCGTTTTCATCATCACGGTAAGAAACTCAAACGCTCTTTGGACGTGAATTGTTATTGTATTATGACATAAATATTAGCATCTTCTTCATGATCAAAAAGCCATTAGGAAAATGAATTCCAAGAGAAAGAGCCCGAGATACAAAGACCAAGACTTACTGAGTTAACAGTGTGGATTCCATCGGGATCAGTGTGCGATCATGATGCATGCACAAGCAACTTGAACCGGCTTAGCAGTTTGGGTTTGTGGTTGCATTTTGTCACTTGTTTAGTCTTCAGGTTAAACTAAACAAGACTTTCCTTTCCGATATGACTTTGCCTGCCTTGTATGAGCTCAATCCTTGCAACTTTAGATGCTTCTGATCAAGTTTTGTAATTCTGACTATTCACATCATCCCTCATCATACAAAATACTCTTATAAACAAAGTTTGTTTATACCAGTGCTTCGTGTACCTTTCCTCATACTATAATAAAGATGGGAGCCCTCTGGAGGACTGAAGATTATATACCAAGGTTTCAATAGTGGCTCAGTCACTAGTCCTGTCATGATGATGATGATGAAAATAACACCTTTGCAATTATAATACTCTTACTGCATATATAAGTATATGGTTGGACCAACTTTAGAAAAACTGTATCCAATGTTGAATGGTCAAGCCCATCAGTAGCAATGTGTGCTTTCTGCATCTTCATACACATCCAGTGTAGCCAATGGATCCTGGTTTTACTTTAATGGTCTTGCTTTCATCAGTCTGGTTGAAGTAAACAACACTACAACTCTGCTCTTTTATACCTGTTTATAGCAGATCTATTGGGACACAAAATACAACATGGAGGGTGCATGGACTGTCTTCTGCAGTAACTCTGAGAGTTCACATGGAGTTGGAAAAACATGCAGTCCTGGTTTTTCGGCTATACTCAATCCATGTACATGTATCAATCATGCTTTGACAATTTCTGTTGATATCCTGCTTCTGTTAATTTTCTTATTGATACTCATTTATAGATTGTCTATGAGGAAGGTTACCGCAGCCTCCCAGTCTGAACACGTCTCTTCATTGCAAATTCTCTCAGCAGTCTTTAATGGCATTTTAGCCATTGCCTACTTGGTTTTGGGGATATGGATAATGAAAACAAAGCTAAAAACAGACCAGACAATACTACCTTTGCATGAATGGCTAGTAGTGTTATTTCAAGGACTGACATGGTTGCTTTTAGGGTCATTTGTGAGCCTGAAGAAGCAAAAACTTCCATGTATATCAGCAGTGAAATCTTGTTCAATTCTTGGCCTTTTGTATGCAGGGTTTCTCTGTATATCAGCTTTTCGAGAATCTATCGTTGATAGAACAGTTTCAGCTAAGATAATTTTGGATATTTTATCTTTTCCTGGATCAATTTTACTGTTCCTTTGTGCCTTTGAAGGGGACAAGTGTAAGGTCGCTGATCTAGATGATACGATTGATGATTGCTATGCACCTTTGCGAGGTGGAGATCCTGAAGTAACTGATGGAATTAGCATCATTCATAATGTTACGAACTTTGGCAGAGCAGGATTTTGCAGTACGATGACCTTTTGGTGGTTGAATCCATTACTGAAGCAGGGTAAGGAAAAAATTCTTGAGGATCAAGATATCCCTCTGTTGCTAGAGGAACATCGAGCACAAATGTGCTACTCAAGGTATATGGAGCAGCTGAGTAAACAGAAAAAGGAAGGACCAAGTGATCTGTCCTTGAGATTGTCACTGATTTTCTATTCTCACTGGAAAGCTATTTTAGTTTCTGGGTTCTTCGCATTGATAAAGGTTCTCACATTGTCCATGGGCCCATTGTTCCTTAGAGCCTTTATTGAGGTTGCAGAAGGAAAAGAAGCCTTCAAGCATGAGGGTTTTGCACTGGCTGTCGGCCTTTTCTTAACGAAATGCTTGGAATCATTTTCTGAGAGGCAATGGTTCTTTCGGACAAAGTTGGTAGGACTTCAGGTAAGGTCTTTGCTATCAGCAGCAATATATCAGAAGCAACTTCGACTATCAAATGCTGCTAAAACGACTCATTCTTCAGGTGAGATAGTAAATTATGTCAATGTGGATGCCTACAGAATAGGTGAGTTTCCATCTTGGTTACATCAGATATGGTCAACAAGCCTTCAGTTATGTCTTGCAGTGTGCATTGTCTACTACACTGTGGGACTTGCAACTGTTGCAGCTTTAATTGCCATTATGTTGACAGTTCTTGCAAGTTCTCCGTTGGCTAAATTACTACTTAAATATCAGAAAAAACTAATGTTGGCACAAGATAAGAGGCTAAAGGCCATCACAGAGGCACTTGCAAATATGAAGGTTTTGAAGCTGTATGCTTGGGAGACACATTTCAAGAACGTTATAGAAGGATTAAGGAAAGAAGAGTTGAAGTGGATTTCAGGAATTCTGACACAAAGAGGGTTCCAGGTAGTTCTGTTTTGGTCATCTCCAGTTATTGTACCAGCTGTTACTTTCTGGACATGCTACTTTCTCAGGATTCAACTCAATGCTGGAACTGTTTTCACATTTTTAGCAAGTTTGAATATTCTTCAAGAGCCAATAAGGGTGATTCCTGATGTTGTTGGAGTGTTCATTGAAGCAAAAGTTTCCCTGGATCGAATTGTGAAATTTCTTGAGGCACCAGAGTTGAATGACAGAGATTTATGGCAGGAACACAATGACAAGGACTTTGAGTACTCCATTTTCATCAGCTCTGCTGAATTTTCTTGGGACACAGATTTGTCCTCCAAACCGACATTAAGGAACATAAATTTGGTGGTTAAACCAAGAGAAAAGATTGCTATTTGTGGAGAAGTTGGCTCAGGCAAATCAACCCTTTTAGCTTCTGTTCTTGGGGAAGTTCCAAAAGTCCATGGCATCGTAAGTGCACCATTTAGCAAAGACTCCACATTTCCAGAATTTACATGCATGTGTAATGATGAAAATCCTGAGGAATCTTTAAGAAATGTTTTTATGATAGCATGATGGTTCAGTTTCTTTCCTATCTTGTTAGTTAACTAGGTACTTAGGATAGAAGAATAGAAAATCTGCTAGTAAAATGTCCAGACTGAAGGTATACAATATTTTAGATTAACTACTGAAACTGAATGATACACTTCAATAAGTTGGTGAACCTATAATAATTATGAAAATTAGGTTGACAGCTTAAAAGCCTAAGAAGATCATTTAACATTTTCACTTACGGTATTGGAGATGTGTCCATCAGGTTCGTAGTTGTGGAAAGATAGCATATGTTTCTCAGACTTCATGGATCCAAACTGGCAGTATACAAGAAAATATTCTATTTGGCTCTGTGATGGATCCAGTTAGATACCAAGAGGTGCTTGAGAAGTGTTGCCTGGTAGAAGATCTAGAGATGCTTCCTTTTAGGGACCTCACTGAAATAGGAGAAAGAGGTGTAAACTTGAGTGGTGGACAGAAACAGAGAGTTCAATTAGCTCGTGCATTATATCAGGATGCAGATATCTATCTTCTGGATGATCCCTTCAGTGCTGTGGATGCCCATACAGCAACAAGTCTCTTTAATGTGTGTATAATTTCCATCTTTTTGCAATCTGTTCGTCAATGATGCAATTTTCACTTAAAGCTAAACCCTCATTTCTAGGAATATATCATTGGAGCTCTCTCAGCGAAGACTGTCTTGCTTGTGACCCACCAAGTGGACTTCCTCCCAGCTTTTGATTCTATCTTGGTAAGCTACTTGTAAAATACCTGCTATTTTTTTTGCTTTCACCTGCTTTATTTATCACTGTTTTTCAATGCTTCACATGGGAAACTACATCATCTTTTATCTTGCTCTACATATTTGAATTGTCCACATAAGCTGTTCATGCAAATCTTATTGCAGTTGATGGCTGCTGGAGAAATCATAGAAGCTGCTACTTATGAAAATCTACGTGCTTCAAGTCAGGAATTCCAAAACCTTGTAAATGCACATAATAATACTGTTGGCTCTGAGATACACATTAACCACTCTACAGGCAGAAGGCCTATGACATCCAAAGGAGAGATCCAGGATATATATGTTAAGGATCAGTCATTTGTCCCTTTGGCAGAGCAATTGATTAAGCAAGAAGAAAAAGAAACAGGAGACACAGGTCTCAAGCCTTACAGACAGTATTTAAGCCATGACAAGTGCTTTTTATTTTTCTCCTTTGCAGCTATATTCCACATGATCTTCATTATTGGCCAACTGATGCAAAACTACTGGTTGGCTGCTAATGTCCAGAACTCTAATGTAAACAGACTGAAATTAGTCACAGTTTACACGGTGATTGGGAGTGCTGTAGCAATCTTTTTGCTTCTTCGATCCTTTTCTGTAGTTCTTTTAGGTTGTGGAGCATCGCAATCTATTTTCTCTACACTTCTGAAATCCCTTTTCCGGGCACCAATGTCCTTCTATGACTCAACTCCTCTGGGGAGGATACTCAGTCGAGTAAGAGTTTCAAAAAACACAACTTGATTTCAGTGCCATGCTCAAGTAGAAAGTTTTAAAGGGCTTACAATTTGTATTTTACCGTAATAGGTATCTTCTGATTCGAGCATTGTTGATCTTGAAGTGCCATTCAGATTTGCAATTGCACTTGGGTCAACCTTGAATGCCTACTCTAGCTTTGTGATACTGGCTATTCTTGCCTGGCCAGTTGTCTTTGTCATCATTCCCCTGATTTTTCTAAGTATATTCCTGCAGGTATTACTACAGCAAAACCAACCTTGCAATGTGACTTATGTCCTTTTAGCATTTTTTAACTTCTCCTTCCTTCTCCATTATATTTTTCATTTGTTTTGAAACAATTAGAGGTACTACCTTGCTTCCTCAATGGAGTTGAAGAGAATCAATGGCACAACAAAGTCTTCAGTTGCCAGTCACCTTGCTGAATCCATTGTTGGAGCCATGACAATCAGAGCTTTTGGGGAGGGAGATCGATTCTTCTTGAAGAATCTGGGCCTGATCGATGCTAATTCAAGTTCAGACTTCCATAGCTTTTCTGCAAATGAGTGGTTAATCCAACGTCTGGAAATACCTTGTGCTGTGGTACTTTCTTTGTCAGCACTTGCCATGACTTTACTTCCTTTTGGAGCATCTGCCTCTGGTTAGTTATCATCGAATGTTTCCACTACCTATATCTTATAATGTTCTTTCACATGCTCCCAGTAGTTGAAAATGTCAGAGTGCTGCTAGTTTCAAAGCTTCAGACTGATCATATGCCTGCTAAGCTAAGAAATAGGTCCTAAGGATATTCAATTCAAGAATTGCATACTGATGTTTAGGATTTAGTTATATAACAATTACAAAAGCTCTTTTATTCAACATTTTGAGCAATTACTAGAATATGTACTCATTTAGTTGTTTAAAAAATATTTTGGTTATTGATTTTGATGGTAGGGTTCATTGGAATGGCATTGTCTTATGGCCTCTCATTGAATTTATTCCTTGTTGTTGCCATCCAATACCAATGCGTGCTAGCAAACTTAATGGTTTCTGTAGAAAGGCTTGAGCAATACATGCATATTCCGAGTGAAGCTCCGGAAGTAATTGAAGATAATCGGCCTGCCCATGGTTGGCCTTCTGTTGGTAAAGTGGAGATTTGCAATTTGAAGGTGTATACATTGAATATTCAAAGACAAGTACTATCTCTTCCATTTGCAACTAACCCAAATACTGTATAATACCAATGTCATCATCTTGCAGGTTAGATATCGACCCAATGCTCCGCTAGTTCTTAAGGGCATAAGCTGCATTTTTGAAGGAGGGCATAAAATTGGGATAGTTGGCCGGACAGGTAGTGGAAAGACAACTCTTATCAGCGCTTTGTTCCGTTTGGTAGAGCCTTCAGATGGAAAAATCATCATCGATGACCTAAATATCTCCACAGTCGGGCTTCATGATTTGAGATCACATTTAGGAATCATCCCACAAGATCCTACTCTTTTTAGTGGCTCTGTCAGATACAATCTGGATCCCTTATCAGAGCATAGTGATTACAAAATATGGGAGGTAAGCTTTTGTTTCGTAATATGTGGTTATATCTCACGTTAGCAAGAAAACTGTTCTCCTTGATGTAAGAAACCAAGTGATAGCTAGTCCCTGCCTTTTTTATTGCTAAAAACAATTCTCATCACTGCACTTTAAGGTTCTTGAAAAATGTCAACTTCGAGAGGCTGTTCTAGAGAAAGAGGAAGGCCTGAATTCCTTGGGTAAGACATAGAACTTGTAGAGTTACTTATGATTTGAGAGTTGGCACTATTTGTAAAGGAGATCAAGAATTCAAAAAGATTGGACCTAAACTGCAGTTGTACAAGATGGATCAAACTGGAGCATGGGGCAGAGACAATTAATTTGTCTGGGACGCGCATTGCTGAAGAGGAACCAGATACTAGTACTTGATGAAGCCACTGCATCAATCGATAATGCAACTGATTCTATCATCCAGAAAACTATAAGAACGGAATTTGCAGACTGCACAGTGATTACTGTGGCTCATAGAATACCAACTGTGATGGACTGCAATATGGTGCTTGGTATCAGCAATGGTGAGTTACTGAGTTATACTTCTCATCACTTGTACTAGCTGTTAAGGACTATTAAATCTTGTGCTTATAAACACTGGTTATAGCCTACCAATCAATATATTCTGCTTATGTTAACAGGGAAATTGATAGAATATGATGAACCAGCAAAGCTGATGAATAAACTGGGATCACTCTTTGGGCAGCTTGTCCAGGAATATTGGTCTCGTTCTTCCCATGATGATACCTATTCAGAAAACTGGTAACCAGACTCTTCCTGGTGGACGGTTGTAAATTGAATGATAAGTTACTTAAGGTTTTATCCCTGCAATTTGGCTCGGAGTTGCTGCTGGAACATATGCTTGTTTTTTTTTTTTTTTGAAAATTGGAACATATGCTTGTTTAAAGAGTGTGAGCAACTTATGGATAATAGCAGCCATTGGGAGGTGACACGGAAGGAATATTAATTTGCTTGAGTTTTGTATGTAAAATGAACTCATTGATAGTTGTATCACTTATCACAAAAAGCAATTCTGCAGATGCCAGGTCCGTCCATTTTGGTAGACCTTAGGCTCCAATGCTAAACTGCAGTTGATGCCTCGGCCTATGAAAGAGCATATTTTGATGCTCCATGAAGTCTCTACACACAATTTTTCCATACGGTCACCTGGCTTTACTTATACCAATCAAAATGTTCTGTCTACATCCTCAGGGAACTTGTTAGAGTATGATCAACCATCAAAGTTGATATAAGCAGTAATCGCTATTCAGGCAGCTTGTCGTGCAATGCTGTTCTCGTTCTGCAAAATGCTAGTACTTTTGGAAGCTTCCCAGCAGGCTCAGCCTGGTGGACCACCTGTAGTTAGAAAATGACTAAAGTTCACCAAACGTTCTGTCCCCGCCTGCCGGCCGTCTTTCATATACGATTAAGTGTTTAGACCTAAACACCCCATTTTGGTAGATCGCTGGCTCCAATCCTGGATTGCAGCTGATGCATTAGCTTAGGAAAGGATACAACTATTGCATTTAAGTTACCTGGCTCAAAACAGTATACACGTTCACATCTCCAAGATGAGACTCTCTGCCCTAAACTTCCATATCCAAACTAGAACATTAATGCATTATTATATATTATTAAGGGAGAAAAGTAGGAGACCTTTACACAACATTAATCTGGTCAACTGGAACTTGACAAACAAATGTAGCAGCACAAATGTGGCATGACAATGTTTGTTTCGATTCATTCTCATCTCCATAATTACTTCTTCTCAAATCAAGCTTTAAAGCAGCAAATTTTTGTGATTGAAGACGAAGGTGTACTCGAAGAACCTTGATCGCTTTGCGTTCATTGGGATTGGGGCATGCAGAAAATAATTTTCATTTTGAAAAGTGGTAAGTATTATTGAGCCTCTCTAGGGGGAGACCAAAGCAGAGCCATTCATGTCTTAACAGAAGGCAAAAAGAGTCTCGAGATAATAGGACTGGCATGATACCAGAAGGTTTCTGATATGCCATCGGGAGAGTTGCGACAAAGTACAACCTTTTCCGCCTACAAAAACCAGATCATGCCAAACACGCAGAAGGTAACTGTAAACTTGAGAAAGAAGTTGAAGCTGATAGATTGGTTGCTTCTTTTTTCTTTCTTTCTGTTGTTCTTCCGGTCCACATCGAAGGAAAATTTCTCTCTTTTCCAGTTTCTGACTTTGATTAAATAATGTCGTAGGTGATGGAAGGGCCCAACAGATAGCTCTCTCTGCATTAAATGTACAAATTATTGAGGGCAGGTAGGGCTTTATTCTATTAATGGGTCCTTAAAATAATTTTTTATTTAATAATTAAAATAAATAAAAAATAACAAAATAATTTTATATACCTCATTCAATTTTAAGGTTTTTTTAATTTATATTATTATTTTTATTTTTTGATTCCTATGTTTTAACTTTCTATAAATTTTATTTTTCAAATTTCTTTAAATCATTAATCATATTCTTCTTTTTATTTTATTATATGCGACATTTACTTCTACTTGTTATATACATTTTTTATATAGTATAGATTTTATTTTTAATAATTTTAATTTCTAAAAATTAATAATTTATTATATAATTTTCAATTTTTTTTTAAAAAAATAGTGAATGAAATTTGTTCAACCCCGAGGCAAAAGTCTTAGCCTACAGTAGGCAAAAGTCTTAGCCTATACTAGGCACAGACTTTAGTAACGTAAAACTAAAGCTTTGGTCGTGAAGTTCCCTGACAATACTCAAAAAGACAAACCTGCTCACAGTAAGACACAGACAGCAGGACAACAAAATGCCCCACGAGTAGAACTCAGGGTCACAAACCAGAACAACACAAAGTTGAAGACAAAAATAAGACCTAGATCCCCAAAAACCTACAGGACCTGCAGGAGCAGACATAAACTGTCGTTTCCATGACCAATACAAACAGTAATTAACTAGCAACAAACGGAGGCCTTAGCCTGGGAGACCTGACATCAACAAAATCGTTAACCTGACAGCCAGTCCTAAAAACGTAGATCCGACCATCGTAAAGTTCTCAAGCCCAAGTTCACTTCAACATCATCAGAGTAAAAGAAAATCATCATCAGAGGCACAGCATTGCCCATCGTTCACACAAAAAATGAGATATCTTGTGGCACGCCAAACCTCATCATCTTAGCCCCTTGCACAAACGGTTAAACTCCTCATTTCTGAAATTGATTTGCTCCAGGAGCCCAGATTCAATGCACAACAACCAACTGTCAAAATATGATAATTTTCAAATATAAATTATAAAGTTATATTATTATTTAAAATTTCATCAATATATTATTTTTTATTAATTTTGATTATGTATTTGAGCATATTTTATTTATATGCTTTACATTTTATATTTAATTGAATTGAAATTATTTTAAATATATAATTTTTAAATAATTTTAATTATATACAAAATTATTAATTTTATATATTATTTTTAATTATTTATATTTTACAAATTATAATTTTATATGTAATTTCATATTTTTATTATCAATTAAATTTAACATATTAATTTTTTAAAAATTTTAATTTTATTTTTTTTGTTCTTCCAACAAAATTTGGCTATCTTGGCCCATGAGCTTTTATGTAATGAAACATAACCCTTCAAACCATTAATCAGCCGAAAAGTAGGCACAATGATAAGGCAAACGTCGTCCTCGGTCATAATCTCATGAAAGTGATAGCTTTCGGCATACAGTTCTCATTGTGTTCCAGTTAATTTGTTTTGTCTTTCCCACTTATTGAAGACAGAGTAACAGTCAGACATATGCCTGCGGGAGTCCAGCCAAGTTGATTGCAACAGCCATTTGAAGGCTTATAATTTCTCCTTGGCATGTGAACCATATGTGACTGTACACTGAAGCAACTTTTCTTTCAGCATTGTTTTTTTCTTTGAAAATTCGAATCATTTCATCAACTGCACAGGGTACAACCCTTTACAAAAGGAAGCAGGGTATCGGGACCAAGTCAATCTTGGTACTCTGTTATTACCCTGGCTTACAAAAAAGATAGTCAGAGGCATCAGCCTATCACTATACAACATTCACAACATAAGCCTATTCATTTTCTTTCAATTAGGTGTAAATTATACCAAAAGCAGCTTTATCAAATGTTTAGTTTGGAATAAAGAATAGCACTAGCATCAGAGACTTTATCAAAGCTCATAATCTAGCGTTTGGTGCCCAAAAAATTACTGAAAAAAGGGTGGGTGTTTTATGAGTATAATCAGATTTGTCAGTACATGTAGGGAGAGTATCATTCTCATATATCGTAGTGGTGTGGCAGGTTAGAAAGTTTAAATTTAGACCATTTTATAATCTTAATAATTAATGGTATTACTTTATTTTGTTCTACGTAACATAATGGGACAGAGGTAGACAGCTTCTGAAGATATGCCAATGACAATAAAGAATGGAAGTACACTACGTGCTTAAAATTCCAACATGTGTATTTTATACTTTAGACCAGCCTAGGAGAAAAGGATAAAAAAAGTAGCTGCAATCAGCTCGGATATATGTTCCCATTGATCAGTTTCTAGTCGCATCCTTGATACTTCATCAGTTTCCAGGTTAGTAAGACTTATCATTCAGTATGAGAAGTTGTGTGCCATAAATTTTAGCTCAATCCTTGCAAGTTTAGATGTTAATTTTGTTACTAGTTTGTGTTTCTTCTTGTTCATTTTTGTGATGATACATATTAATTTTCGTCTCTGGAGCTTTCGAATTGGAGAGATTCCTTCAATCTTCACCATATACATAGTTATCATCACAACAATCATCATCATCAAGAAGCTGCAAAAGAGTTTCTTTAAACTACTTTTTCCTCTACTCTCTCCATATGCTACTGAAGAGAAGAACTGTCTAAATTGCCAAGTCCTGCTAACAAGATAATAATTATGCCTTAAATATTTGGATTCTTAATATACTCAATGGAACATGACTTGCATGACTATGTATCTAAAAGCTTTTGAAAGAATAGGCCATTGAAATGTTCACATGTTCTTTTGCATCTTTAATACCCAAGTACTGCATTGGTTTAACTTCAATAATTGGACTCTCATGAATCAGGTTAAAGTGACAAGAATCTAATAGTCTCCTATACATGTTGCAAATATTTTGAGGTGCAGAATAGCGGATATATAACATGGGGGAAGGCGTATGGATTCTGTTCTGTAATAACCCTAACTGTTCACTGGAAGCTGGGAGGACATGCAGTTCTGGTTTTTCAGCAATACTCAATCCATATTCATGTGTCAATCATGCTTTCATCATTTGTGTTGATATACTGCTTCTGTTGCTCGCCTTACTCATCATCATTTATAAATTTTCCATAAAGAAGATTACAGCACCTTTCCAGTCACAACACTTCCCTTCAATGCCAATTCTCTCAGCAATATTTAATGGCATTTTGAGTGTTGCCTATTTGGCCTTGGGGATATGGACCATTTACCAGAAACTTGATGCAGATAAGACAGTTTTACCTCTGGATGGATGGCTACTGCTGCTATTTCAAGGATTCACATGGCTGCTTCTAGCCATATCTGTGAGCCAGAAGAAGCTAAACCTTCCAAGTATAACAGCAGTGAAGTCTTGCTCAATTTTTGCCTTCTTATATGCAGGATTTCTCTGCATTTCATCTCTACAAGAAGCTATTGTAGACAAAACAGTGTCAATTAAGATCGTTTTGGATGTTTTATCTTTTCCTGGATCAATTTTATTTCTATCATGCGCCTTTAAAGGACACAGTTTGAAGGACACTGATCCGGACAGTAATTTTGATGCTTTCTATGCACCTTTGCAAGGTGAGGAACGTGATTCAAATGATGAAATCGGTTTCAACAACAACATTACTCCTTTTGCCAAAGCTGGGCTTTTAAGTAAAATGTCATTCTGGTGGTTGAATCCTATACTGAAAAAGGGTAAGGAGAAGATTCTGGAGAACAAAGATATTCCAACTTTGCAGGAGGCATGTCGAGCACAAGCATGCTACTCAAAGT